CCAAGGATGCCCTTTCGTGCCTTTTGGGGCGAATGCACGTGACTGTACAAGAATCGTTGCGCTGAACCGTGGGTCATCAGCCTCTTTCAACCCGTGACAGGGAAGCTGAACATACCTTAGGCCAGTCTTAAACTCTTATTCAATTAAAGCATAGCCTAGTCTTTAGCTAAAAACAATTCAATTTTTTTCCTTGCCTGGTGTAAGCATACGGGCAAGTGAGCTGTAGCAAGCAATGTCGTTTCCAGTTGCTCAGTCGTCGGCAGCGGCATACGCGCCGCAAACCCCGCGCCTTGTAATTGGCATTGACTTTGGGACCCATGCTTCGGGATTCGCCTTTTGCAAACCACAAAACGCTGCAGCCGCGGGAGAGTCGGCCTCAGCCGCATCGCTGCGTGTTTCCACGCACGACCGCTGGCCTGACCAGCCGACTGCGGACGCCAAGACGCGAACGGCGCTGCTTTACAGGGGCAGCAAGGTGGTAAGTGATGAGCCGGATGACCCATGGGTCGCTCCAAGCCTTGCTAGGCCAGCCGGACGGTTCGATTGCTAGTTCGTGCATGCGCAGTATCCAGGAAGAATTAATAGGGAAGCAAAGATAGAGCCGCCATTCATGTCATTTACCGTTAGCATGCACACAGCTACACACATGGCCTTCCTACGCACGCAGGTGGCTTGGGGTTGGAGTGCCTGGAAGCGCTGGTCGGAGCTGTCGGCCTCCGATCGCGCCGCCCAGCGCTACAGCTACGTGGAGAACTTCAAGCTGCTGCTGGAGGAGGGCGCGGCGGAGGAGGTGGACACGGTGTGCCCCCTGCCGCCCGGGGTCACACGGGTGCAGGCGGTGGCGGACTACTTGACTGAGATGCGCAAGTGAGGCGTTGCATACTGGGACTATGTACAGAATTTTAGGTTCTGGGGAAGATAGGTATGCAGTATCCTGGTGTGTGTGAGGCGGTGGATGCAGAGTAGAATGGGAAGAACTATAGGTTTGGCTTATAAATGTGGGTCCGCAGGTGACCCATGCACGCTGTGCCGGACCCCCTGCCGACGGCCCTGCTTGTCCGCAGGTACATCCGTGAGCACCTGCGCCGCAGCGCCGGCCTCACCCTGGCCTCCGACGACGTGGTGTGGTGCCTCACCCTGCCGGCCATCTGGAGCGATGCGGCCAAGGCCAGGATGCGGGAGGCGGCACACCGAGCGGGTACGTAGCGGGTTCTCGGCGGGGAAAGGCTATAGCTGTATTAACAGCGGGTACCGGTATGCACAAGCGGCATGCTAAGGGTCGTGGCTGCCGGTATGTTGTTATGCGGGCTCACAGACACAGCCACCTTGCATGATGGCCTGCGACACGTCATGGCAACAGTACGCCTGAAGTTACTTACTGCTATAGAACCCTGCCGGTCCTTCTCACGTTAGCGCTGCCGGCCCTCTTCCCTCTCCGACGCAAGCCCTCTCCCTCCCCTACACCTCAGGCCTCACCGTCCGCGTGGACTCCCGCTCGCTGCTGCTGACGCTGGAGCCCGAGGCGGCGGCGCTGGCGGCCGTCATGACGGGGCAGGAGGCGGACGGCGGCGGCGGTGCGTCCACGTCAGCTGCCTCGCTGCGGGACGGCGACGTGCTGCTGGTGCTGGACTGCGGCGGCGGTACGGCGGATGCCACACTGCACTGCGTGCGTGGGTCGGGGTCAGCTACCCGGCTGGAGGAGGCTGCTGTGGGGCGAGGTAAGAGGTGCTTAAATTGCTGCTATCCTTGTGTCACAATGCTGATGGCAGGCTAGTGCATGTATGTATACGCCAAACTGGGAGATGCCGTTTGGTTGACCGAGCCCTATCGCTTCAAGGGAGTACGGACCAAGCAACGGGTTTCCCGTACATAACAGCCTCACATGTAGCAGCCTTCGCCGATGCCACCTAACCCTTGGCCCTGCTGTTTGGCCCTGCTGCTGCCAGGCGCCCTGGCCGGCGGTGCGCACGTCGACTGTGCCGCCTGGCGCTACCTGCGTGAGCTGCTGGGGGCGCATGCTTGGGACAGCTGGAGGGAGGACTGCCCCGGGGAGGTGGTCAAGCTCAAGACAAGGTGAAGGCATTGGGGACGCGTACACGGGCACGCAGAATCCATGCGCTTCTGCTACAGAGGGCACAGGGGCCTTACATACCGGTACATCGACGACCTCTTGACATGCAATCATGGACGCCACCACAACCTCAGGCGAGCTGCTCAGTGCTCTTCGTGCGCATGCATGCAGGTGGGAGCTCAGCAAGCGCTCATTTGCGGGCAACCAAGTGGCCGTTACGGCTTCCTCTAGTCCCTCCAGAGGCGGCCGCAATAGCCTGTTGGGTAGGCTGGCCGGATTGAGCGCCAGCGACATCCGTCTGCCGCTGCCGGAGGGCCTGTTCACGCGTCTGAGTCCGCACGACCTCCTGGTGGGTTGGCCGCGGTTGCCTAGCTACCCGCCCCGCCCTGTCCATACATGTCCCTTGGCCCAAACCAATAGGGCCTTGTTACTCATGCATCAAATCCATCAATCCTCATTGTCCTGGAGGACGTTTTGCAGTTGGCTTAGTTGCTGCCTCCCGAGATGCTTCACCCACGTGCAACAGCACTTGACAATTTCGCTACGTACCCCTCCTGCCCTCCAGCCCTTCTCACCCGCCGGCGGTCATCCTAACCCAACAATCCTGCTCATTCCTCAACAACTCCCTACCAACTGTAGGCCCTCTCCTCGCCCCGCACCGACGGCGGTTGGGTGGCCCCCGACCGGGCGGTGGTGCTGCCGGCGGAGGTGGTGGCCAAGCAGATCCTGGATCCTGTGATTGACCAGGTCACTGAGCTGATGTCTGACATAATTGAGGAGGGCAGGAGGCTGGGCAGCATTTGCAGCAAGGTATGTGGCCTGGCAGCGGCCTTAAGAGTGAACGCTCGCCGCAACGGCAACCGTGACAGTCGGATGGGCCCAGCAGCTACAGACCTACTGACCAGCCATGTGCAGTAGGAGCACAACTCTTCGTTATCATACATCCAAATCAATGTCCCCTTTCCACGTAGGTGCTGCTTGCTGGCGGCTTCGCGCGCTCCCCCTACCTGCAGAGCCGTGTCCGCCAGGCGCTGCCGGAGAGGGCTGCCCTGCTCATTCCCGCCGACCCGGGAGCCGCTGTGGTGACGGGTGGGTTGCAACTCTTGCAGCTTTGGGAATCAGTAAGCCACGAGTGAAGTGCCCATCGCATGAAACCAGGCTAGCAAGGTTTAACACTGACGGCCTTGTGAATGGTTGAGCCCTACTGGTATATGCAACCTACCACAGCACATCCCATGCCCTTCACGAACATGCCCTGTTGGTATTTGGGCTTAGGAGCACGTAGTTTGCTTGGCACCCCTTATGCGCTCTTCCTGCAGGAGCGGTGCTGTTTGGCAGCGTGCCGACGGCAGTGACTGCACGCCGTTCCCGCTACAGCTACGGAGTCGGCTTCAGTCGCCCATGGACACATGAAGATGCTATCCACGCAGCCTCCTTCGGCACTCCTGAGAAATTCTGGCACGAGGAGGAGAAGTGCTACTACGCCCGTAAGTAGTCGCGTGCATGCCCCTCTCCAATGTGAGCGTGCGACCCCCTGGTTTAACGGAACAATCTGGCAATGATCCCGACGTACTTCTCGCATGCATGCACCTGAGGGGCGCTTCCCATGCGCGCGGCCACCAATAGAGGCCTGCTGCCAACCTCCAATTCCTGCCTTTGCTGTCGCCAACCTGCAGGGGACGCATATGACTCGTTTGTCAGGTACGGCGAGCTGGTTCAGGTGGACCAGGTGGTCAAGCACGACTTCTCGCCGCTGTACAAGTGAGCACGCAACGAGCAGGGAGCGGGGGGTATCTGACGTACGTGCGTGGAAGGGTTACTGCAGCGCAACAATGGAATACAGCATGCACACATCCTGTTTGCGGCTTACCGTATGCATGGCGCTGTTAAGCACCGCGTGCTATAGAGGTGGGGCGCCCCACATAGAATGAAGCAAGCCTCTCGGTCCAACTCCTCTACCACCGCTTAAGCTCGACGCAGTCTAGCTTGCACACCCGAGGGCCAGAGGACCAAGTGCGGCAAGTGCCATAACCACTAGCCCATGTAAGCCCATGTACCTCCATGCATCCTTTCCCAACCCTCATCAGGACCCAAAACTCCATTGGATTCCAGCTGTTCTGCTCCGCCAGCAACTCGGCTCGCTACACCGCGGACCATGGCATGAACCAGCTGGCGCAGGTGACCCTGGAACTCTCCCGGGACTGGGCGCAACAGGTGTCCAAAGCCGAGGACTACACCGTACAGGTGGGGTTGGAGCTTGGGGTTGGTAGTGGCGGTGGTGATGCATGGCGGTGCTTTGGTGCCCCGCCGCGGTTCCTTTTTAGGCAAAAGGCCCCCATCTTTACGGCCACACTGTTTGCCGCATGACACTACTACCAGGAGAGCCTGCAGGGCCTCACCTGCCGCACTGGTGTAACAAGGCACCCACATGCATGCTTTCCAACAAACACCTGACGCGGTGGGCCCATGCATGTCCCTTGATCCATGCATGCAGGCGGAGATGCGCTTTGGTGCCACGGAGCTGTCCCTGGTCGCCTACGACACTCGCACCAACAACGCAGTCGCCACGAACGTCGCGTGGAATGCGGACATTGCGTAGAAGTTGACCGGCGCCGCAACCCACGCTAGCGGGGATTTTACCTGCAGTGGCTGCTTGCTTTGTCTTGCTTCTGCTGGTTAATTCCCGAGCGCTGTGCTCCGGTCTACATTGGGAGGTCACATGCCAGCGTTGATTCCTGACATGGGCATGTAGCATCTGCGTTGTTTCTATGTTAATGCGCGGGGATTGTATAGCATTGTTCAACACGTACCAGGCAGGTGGCGTGGCAGTTGATTGGCTCCATGAACCCAGATATGCCATGCACACTGAGAATGAATTGGCATTTGCTCAATGTGTCTATCTCCGGGAGTACAAGGGGTTTGACCATGTGTGCTGTTCGCCCCGTATTGCTTAATAGGGTGGCAACCAAACCAACCGCTGTTGCCCTTCCAAAACTCTGCGTCGGACCGCCCGCCAGGGCGCGGGGCACAGTACGTAGAAGGCGCCTTGAAGACACGTCAGCGAGACGAGACGAGATGTGAAAGGGCATAATGTAAACTGATCGAATGCTCGTCCACGGTGCTCCTCCGGAATATTAGAGCATAAGCAACAAACCGGCGCTTTAAACAGAAACGAACAGAAGAGTGTTTTTTCACACCAAAGCGTAGTTACTTGGCATTATTTGCGCGAGTTCAGTTCGCAGTCAGCAGCGCCTACACATATAGGCTTTGACTGTAGCCCTGAGAGCACAATTGACACATCGTCAAGCTGCATGCATACCGTGGAACAGGAAACCCAAACCAGTAAAGGCGCTTCCCACTGCTCGCAAGCATAGTGGCCCATTCCCACACAAGAACCGCCTATCCTATACAACAGTACAGCTGCACGGCTCGCGTGCATTCCTCAGTTTCCATGCTAGGTAGCCCCAACCGTCCTTTGTACAAGTCCAAACTCCTAAACAGACTGCTCATTAACACTTCAGGTATCATGCGTTATGTGCCGTACAATCGCAGTTCCTGGCCTAGGACCCTACATGACGCTGCATGCATGCCTCTTGCATGCATCCCACCCCATCCAGCACTGCCCAACGCCCCAACCTATCCCTTGACACTCATTCGTAAACGGATGCATTATGATTAGAACATGTGTCCAAGGCAGCGGCAGAAATGCAGCTGCTGCCTCTTCCATTGGGTTATTCGTCCACCTCTGCGCTCAGCCATTCAAGCTACCGGCAGCAGCCTCACGGGGGCAGCATGCCAGTCAGGGTGCCCGGCTGGCCGGCCGTGGCAGCTGCAACAAGGGCGAACGGGCGGGTCACACTGTTAGGGCAGGCGGGATACATCACTCTCCATACACCAATAACACGTAGACGGTACACCGGTCGGTATCAGCAGTCAGGTACCAGTACCGGTACTGTTACGCTTCCTCCTCCCCATCTCGCCGCCCCCAAGCCCCACTGCATGCATGCCCCCGCCCCCGCCCCCTCTCCTGCAGCCGCCCCCCTCCCCCTCCCGCGCACCCTGCAGCCGCGCCTCCAGTGCCGTGATGGTGTCCCTGCAGCGCTGCAGCAGGTAGTCCCGCTGGCTGATCTCCGCAATGTGGTGCTGCTGCAGCTGAGTCAGGTGCTGCGGGGAGAGGGAGCGGAGGAGCAGGACGCGGGAGGGAAGGTGAGGGTGAGGTGCGGGGCGGGAAGAAGGGCAAGACACGAGACAGGGAGAGCGGGTGGGAAGGCATTCCCAGCCCAGATCCTTTACTGGCTGGCTCCCTTCCCTCGTTCCCTTCCGGCTCTTCCTCCACTCGTACCTCCTCGCACTTTGCGATGATGGCCATGGACTCGCGCTTGATGGAGTCCGTCTTGGTGGACTCCACCGCCCACTTGCTGCGCCACTGCGCCGCGTCGGCAGCGGCCTCCTGGGCAGCAGTCTGAGCCGCCTCCAGCTGCAGGCGAGCAAGCGAAGGGAGACGCATGGCAGGCAGGCGTCATTACCCCATGATTGGTGGAGAAACGACTGATAATACTGCTCCCAACACACCGCAGCGGCCCTCCCGGAGGGTGCTTCCCTCGCACCCAAGCACTCCCCCCGCTGTTTATTACCTTCTCCCGCAGGTCGTTCATCTCCGTATTCGCTCGAGCCAGGGAGGCCTCCAGCTCCCGGTTGAGTGCGTCCGCCGCATTCGCGTCCTCGAACAGCTCCTCCAGCATGGCCGCCTCGGGACCCAGTTCCGCCGACATGGCGCCGCCGCCGCCCTCCAGCCCGCCGCTGGGTACGGCACTGCTGGCGGCGGCAACTGCCGCCAGCGCGGCGGCGTTGCTGCGCATGGCGGCGGAGGCCTCCGCCGTGGTGCCGCCGGCGCCGGCGGCGGCGCCGGAGGTGGTGGCGGGGTTGTCGGCGGCGGAGGTGCCGGCGGAGGTGACGCCGCCGCCGGTGGTGGTCTGCTGGCCGCCGCCTTCGGCGCCGTTGCGTGCGGCTGCGGCATGTCATAATAAGGCCGTGGGAGTGATGGTTGATAGGTCGCTTCTCTCCGTGAACGAGTACAATAGCAGGTTGGAGCCCCAGCGTGCCACCATTCCATGCGGCAGTAGGGAACCCCAGTCCCCTCGCTCCCTCCAAGCGCCCCCATGGGGAGTGCGTCCAACCTCACCTCCCAGGATGCCCATTACAAAGCCCGGGCTCTCCCCTCGCGCGCTCTTGGCCAGAGTGCGAGCCAGCGCAATCTTGAGCTGCATCTGTGGGCCAAAAGCCAGACCAGAAGCAACACCGTCAAAAAGCCAGGAAGCATTCAGGTGGTGGTCCCTACGGGCAAACAAGGCGGCGCAACAGGCTACAAGCCAAGCAGCCAGCCACCCCCGCTTCCTTTCCTTCTCAGCCCTGCAGTACACCCTACTCCCCAGGCCTCCAGCCACCCCGCCCCCCCACCTACCTGCCGCTGCTGCAGCTCCACCGCCGCCGCATGCCGTACAGCCGCCAGCTGCGTGTCGTGCCGCTGCCGCAGCCCGCGCAGCTTCTCTCGGTACCAGGCGTCACGCGCCTCCAGGGCGGCCCGGAGATTGCGGGAGAAGGCTCCGCGAGTGGTCTGTGGAAGGAGAGGAGGGAGGTAGAGGGGGTGTATGAGTGAGGGAGGGGAAGGAGTGTTTGGATAGCAGGCGGAACAGGTGTGGGTGTACGCTAGCAAGAGCAGCAGTGCAGAGGCCGTGGAGGCGAGGCATGTGTTAGGCGCTTTAGGCCCCGTCCTTAGCGTTTCCCTCCCCGTACCTGGTAGAGTTGCTGCGTGAACTCATCGTCCCGCTGCTTCATCTCCTGTGGGGCAGCAAGTCCAGCATGCGGGTCAAGGCATACGGATTACAGCTCCACAAGAATCCAAAAACACCAGCAACCGCGAAGGCAACACGGTCACTTTTTCCCACTTGGTTTAGTTTCTCCCTTCCGCTTCACCCTCTCCCACGTCCTCCCTCCCTCCCTCCGCCCCGTGCGTGTAACAGCGCTCCGGCACCCGCATCAAGCCCAGTACCCTCTGTGCTCCCACATGGACGGTGGCCCTCTCCCTCTTCCCACATGCATCGAACCCTGCGCGCCCCGCCCCCCTCTTTCAAGCCTCCTCCCTCCAAACCATGTTGATGCCTTATCACTCAGTCAGTTGGTTGCTTCCACTGTATCCCTTCCTTCCTCCGCCCCACCTCCCTTCCTCCGCCCCTCCTCCCTTCCTCCGCCCCACCTCCCTTCCTCCGCCCCACCTCCCTTCCTCCGCCCCTCCTCCCTTCCTCCGCCCCACCTCCCTTCCTCCGCCCCTCCTCCCTTCCTCCGCCCCTCCTCCTCCCGCCCGCACCTGCATGACGTCCAGCACCAGCTCCCGGGTGCTCTCCGTGAAGCTGTTGAGCAGCGTCAGCACCCGCCGCAAGTCGAAGTTCTTCACCTCCGCGATGTCCTGAGAGGGGCGCGGGGGGGAGGGGGGGCCAGAGGCGGGTGTGGGGAGGGTTACAGGGAGGATTGCAAGTAGGATTACAGGAAGGCGTGCTAACGGCGGGGGCTTAGGGGCAAGGAACGGGTACATGGGGGCCGGCCACTGATGTGTGTAGTAGGTTAGAGGGAGGGACTAAGCTGATGTGGACGCATGACGTTGGGTTGGGTTGCAACCGGTGACGCTGACCTACCCTGACGGCCTGGGAGTGGCTTTCGTACATGCGTTCCGCGTACTCCCGGCCCAGCTCGTCCATTCCTGAGGCGTGTTGTCGCCAGAGCTGCTGCATGGCTGCCATGGTGGTGCGGCTGACCAGCTGAGAAACCTGGTCCACCGATGACCAATCGACATCCTCGGCTGTGAAATTGGGAATAACGGCGAGGATGAACGAGGAAAGGGGAAGCGGATCTTCATGCAGCTTGAGGTGTTTTGGGTCGCAGGTAATGGGGGGTGCTCAGGAGCGCAACGTGCATGACAGGGGGCAAGAGCAGATGGGATGGACTGACAAACCTGCGCTAGCAAACGTTCGCATGACTCAGCGAAAGTATGGATTTTACGATGTGTCTCACTCTGAGCCTGTGCTCCATTTGCCCCAGACGCCAGAGCAGCTTCGGTCGGAAGCGCCATCGTGCTGAGCCCGCAGTCAGGCCGGCCACCTGAATGACCGAGGGCCGAGTATTCTAGCCTCTAGCAAAAGCTTTGTGTCAATAGCTTCCCATTATTGCAATCTTCTAAAGGCAGGTGTAGGTCCGAAAGGTCTTAGCAAAGATATGCCGTTCATCATTTTAGCTTAGTTTGTGTAAAACAGTATTGGACAAGCAAATCCTTGCTAACTGACGGTATGAGGGCATCCATCAGCGCGAGTTCACAATCATGAAATGCGTGCTGCTCGTCCATGTTTGCCTGGTGATCGTCCGTTTCCAACTGACGAACTCCAATATTACAATGGAAAGAACATCTTACTGGTAATGTCTTCAGATAATAGTTATGCATTCCTTTGCTTCCCTTTCTTAACCTCTAGTACCTTTCGACTTAACCGTCACGACCTCCTTGCGGGTAAGTGCGGCATCGTTGTCGCAATAACAGAGGCCGCAGCAAGATGATATGATCGCAACGGTGACTAGGGAGCACTCCAAACCCCACGAGAAGCGCCCCTTGGCCCGCACACCGAAGCGAACGAACCTTCTGTCTCCTTTACATCTTCTCTCGTCCTGCCTACGTGCCGTAAAGTGCGTGAGTCTCAATGTCAACTCCCCGCACCTTTGGGCAGCCCAGCGCAAGATTTTGGAAGAAAAACAGCGGTTGGCTGTCGCAGTGTCGCTGCACCTTGCTAAGCAATAGAGAGCCAACAGCACATATTCTCAAATCCTTATGCTTCCGGAGAAATATCATTCATAGTTGTTTATTGTCAGCGTGCCGCGTCTGGGTTCATGGCCAACCACCATAATCGCAAACCGCTGTCACGCCCGTGGCTGTAGCAATGGACACGTGCGCAGTGTTGCTACACCACCAGCTTTGTACAACATTCCTCCAAGCCCCGCACGTCAACGTATCGACAACGCACAAACCATACCAGAAATCAACGCTAACGTGCCAATCTAGACAGCAGCACAGGACTCTTGAGCAGATAGAATCCCCGCTAGCGTTGGATGCGGCGGCGGAGGCCAGCTTCTACGCAACGTCTGAGCTCCATACGACGTTCGTGGCGACGGCGTTGTTGGTGCGAGTGTCGTAGGCCACCAGGGACAGCTCCGTGGCACCAAAGCGCATCTCCGCCTGCATGCATCAAGGGACATGCATGGGACCACCGCGTCAGGTCTTTGTTGGAAAGCATGCATGTGCGTGCCTTGTTACACCGGTGGCTGTAAGGCGCAGACTCTCTTGGAAGTGTCCCGAGGCGAAACGGGTGGCCGAGTAGTTGAGTGCAAGCCTCCATAACGTGAAGTCAAGAGCATGGGCCTTTTGCCTTAAGAGAACCCGTAAGAGGGTACCAAATCATCACCATGCATCACCACCGGACGCCACAAGCTACCAGCCCCAAGTAACAAGCCCCAGCCTCGCCTGTACGGTGTACTCTTTGGCGTACGACACCTGTCGCGCCCAGTTCCAGGGCAGTTCCAGAGTCACGTCCGCCAGCTGCTCCATGTCATGGTCCGCGGTGTAGCGAGCCGAGTTGCTGGCGGAGCAGAACAGCTTGAATTGAACACCGTTCTGGGCCCTGATTAGGAGATGGGGCAGGGCTGGAGGTCTGGCAGGCTTCGGGGTAGGTCATTGCACGTCGCCCATGGCCCGTTGACCCTTCTGACTGCAAGCTACCATGCGGTTGAACTTTAGTGGCGGTTGAACCTTACAATGCGTGCTTTTGTAGATGTGACAAGTAACAACCCTTCCTCGCCAGGGTTCCCCGCTATCTGCTTGTTTGTGAGCTCACTTGTACAGCGGGTGGAAGTTGTGCTTGACCACCTGCGCCACCTGAACCAGCTCGCCGTACTTGACAAATGAGTGATATGCGTCGACTGTGGGTTGGCAACGGCAATGGTAATCGGAAGTCGGCAACAGCAATGGCAGGGAGTGGGGGCGCAGTTTGGTAGCAGCGGCAAGGTATGATGGATGGCAAGCAAAGGCAAACAACAAGCATCGAGAGGGCCATGCACGCGACTACTCACGGGCATAGTAGCACTTATCCTCCTCGTTCCAAAGTTTCTTGGGAGTGCCGAAGGAGGCTGCGTGAATGGCATCCTCCTGCGTCCAGGGCCGAGAGGTGCCGACACCGTAGCTGTAGCGGCAGCGGCGAGCAGTCACGGCCGTCGGCATGCCCCCGAACAGGACCGCTCCTGTAGGGTGAGCGTCAAGAGTGGACGACGGAGGTAGGGTCGGGCAAGTAACTTGCTGGTAATACATGCCAAAGTACGGTAAGGGCCGTTCGTGAAGGACATGGGAGTGCAATAGTTATGGTTTAGCATTCACAGCGATGGCCAGGACACCCATCCCACCGTTCAACCTTGCTGGCCTGGTTCCATGCGCTGGGCACTTCACACGGGCCTTATCACATCCAAAGCCGGGAACCTCAGCGTTCTCTGGTTCTCCAACCCACCCGTCACCACAGCGGCTCCCGGGTCCTTCGGGAACAGCAGGGCGGCCCCCTCCGGCAACGCCTGGCGGACACGGCTCTGCAGGTAGGGGGAGCGCGCGAAGCCTCCCGCCAGCAGCACCTGCGAGGACCCCGTATAGTCAACGTACCGGGTATTATTGTCCGTGTGAATGCTGCCAATAGCTGCTCCAGCTGGTTACCACGGTTGTCGTTGTGATGAGCGTTTGCTCACACGCAAGGCCGCTGCCAGGCCACATACCTTGTTACAGATGCTGCCCAGCCTCCTGCCCTCCTCCACTGTGTCGATCATCAGCTCAGTGATCCGGTCAATCACAGGATCCAGGATCTGCTTGGCCACCACCTCCGCCGGCAGCACAACCGCCCGGTCGGGGGCCACCCAACCGCGGTCGTTGCGGGGGGAGGAGAGGGCCTGCGCGTGTAAGTAAGGGGTTGAGACGTAATGAGGAACATTCAGTAAGTGGGCGGGAATGGCTGAGGGACAGGAAGGGTAGCGGGTTCCGTGACGTGCTGTTGTTGTTGTGGGTCAACTCAGCCAACTGTCTGTAGCCACCAGCTAGCACAATGGTCTAGGGGCTGGCTATCCCCACTTATTTAACCAGCAGATTCACCAAGTTATTAACGGTGCGGAATACCGAGGCGCCTCGATCCTCGCGAGACAGACAACCACTCACGTCCAACCCACCCGCAGCTCGTGCAGGCCAATGCGCTTGGCCAGACCGTCCGGCAGCGGCAGGCGGATGTCACTTGCACCCAGCCCGGCCAGCCTTGAGAGGTTACCGAAGAGGAAGCCGCCCTTGGCGCTCGCCGTACTGCAGGAAGCCGTAACGGCCACTTGGTTGCCCGCAAATGAGCGCTTGCTGAGCTCCCACCTGCATGCATGCGCACGAAGAGCACTGAGCAGCTCGCCTGAGGTTGTGGTGGCGGTCATGATACGGTAACCAGCAGCCGAGGGATCAATGCATGTACTGCAGGCGTCTGTGCTCTTCACAGCTGCTAAAGCGGATGCAAAATGCGTCCCGCCAAGCATCCCACCATCCTTACTTTGTCTTAAACGTCACCACCTCCCCGGGGCAGTCCTCCCTCCAGCTGTCCCACGCATGCGCCCCCAGCAACTCACGCAGGTAGCGCCAGGCGGCACAGTCAACGTGCGCACCGCCGGCCAGGGCGCCTAGCAGCAGGGCCAGTTGGCGTTAGGTGACAATACATGATTTCTTAAGGCTGCTACCAGTATGTGGGATCGGTGTTTCTTTACAGGAAACCCCTTGCTTGGTCTGTACGCCAAGCAGGGGAGAGGGCGCAATTACGGTAACAGCATGGCGTCGCCCAACGCTACCAGTTGGCAGGTACATACATGCATGCACCACTAGCTGCACTATTAAATCTGCTATACTACTACAGCAGCAGTCTCAGCACCCCTTACCTCGTCCCACAGCAGCCTCCTCCAACCGTGTAGCTGACCCCGACCCACGCACGCAGTGCAGGGTGGCATCCGCCGTACCGCCGCCGCAGTCCAGCACCAGTAGCACGTCGCCGTCCCGCAGCGAGGCAGCTGACGTGGACGCACCGCCGCCGCCGTCCGCCTCCTGCCCCGTCATGACGGCCGCCAGCGCCGCCGCCTCGGGCTCGAGCGTCAGCAGCAGCGAGCGGGAGTCCACGCGGACGGTGAGGCCTATGGTGTAGGGAGAGGAAGAGGGCTTACGTTGGAGAGGGAAGGGAGCCGCCAGCGCTAACGTGAGAAGGACCGGCAGGGTTCTATAGCAGTAAGTAACTTCAGGCGTACTGTTGCCATGACGCGTCGCAGGCCATCATGCAAGGTGGTGCGTCTGTGAACAACTGCGCCCCCGTAACAACATACCGGTAGCCACAACCCCTAGCATGCCGCATGTGCATACCAGTACCCGTTGATGATACAGCTTGGGCCTTTCCCCGCCGAGAACCCGCTACGTACCCGCTCGGTGTGCCGCCTCCCGCATCCTGGCCTTGGCCGCATCGCTCCAGATGGCCGGCAGGGTGAGGCACCACACCACGTCGTCGGAGGCCAGGGCGATGCCGGCGCTGCGGCGCAGGTGCTCGCGGATGTACCTGAGTGAGGGATGAATGGGACGGTTGAGCATACGTGACGCTTGCAACCAGGAGCAGGCACATGTCCTCTACTGGTATATTTGCAACTGCTGGCGTCAAACAATAAGCATGTCGTCTGTTGAAGCGCCGTACAATCCCGGTCATGGCCCAATGCTTGACAGCGCTGCACACGGGCTTATCGCAACAACAAGAGTTGTTGTTCCTCACTTGCGCATTTCAGTCAAGTAGTCCGCCACCGCCTGCACCCGTGTGACCCCGGGCGGCAGGGGGCACACCGTGTCCACCTCCTCCGCCGCGCCCTCCTCCAGCAGCAGCTTGAAGTTCTCTACGTAGCTGTAATGCTGAGCGGCGCGATCGGAGGCCGACAGCTCCGACCAGCGCTTCCAGGCACTCCAACCCCAAGCCACCTGCGTGCGTAGGAAGGCCATGTGCGTGGTTATTGTGGTGTTGGTCATGCATGCGACCCGTGCATGCTATGCGGCGAATGACATACACAAATTTGAATCCTCCTTGCTTCCGACCATGCATGAGCTAGCATCCAAGGTATCCTGGGCTAGCAGGGCTTGGAGTGACCCATGGGTCATCTGGCTCATCACTTACCACCTTGCTGCCCCTGTAAAGCAGCGCCGTTCGCGTCTTGGCGTCCGCAGTCGGCTGGTCGGGCCAGCGTTCATGAGTGGAAACACGCAGCGACGCGGCCGAGCCAGATCCGCCCGCACCAGCAGCGTTATGTGGTTTGCAAAAG